ATTGGTTGAGATCGGCGTGCATCGAAGTTTTTTAAGATGGCTTACATCATATATTTTCAATAGATCGCAGCTGGTAACAGGTAATTGTTACCGCTCTTTTTCATTCACAGCTACTTCTGGAGTGCCTCAAGGATCTCACTTGGGTCCATTATTATTCTTAATCTATATAAACAATATAAATAAATGTTTTAAATTTTGTAATTTTTTAATGTATGCAGATGATCTTAAGAGTCCGTCACGCGCTTGAAATAAACCCATTTTAAGGGTTCGGCCCATAACACATATTTGGAAAACGAATAAACATAGCGGCCCAAATAAAAAAACAATCGAAAGACAAAGTGTTTTCCTACTGCTGTCTTGTAACAGTTTTTTCAAAATTGGTTTCTAATTGTTTAAATTTAAAGAGTAAACTATGCAAGAAATCGTCATATTTACAATTTATTTACGTAAAAATAGAGGCTTAAATCAAAAATTGCTTACAAGAGGGAAGTGGGTCTATCTTTTAGCTTTGCAATGATACCAAAATTATATTGATTTGATAAAAATTACTCAAAATTCTATGCTAAATCCCGAACGTCTACAACTTCAGAAACGAATATATTTTAAATGCTGCAACCACGTGTGTTTTACTCAGTGGGATGGGCTTAGAGATTGGTAATTGCGGACAGGACCGGAGTTCAAAGAAATATCTAGTCAGTGATAATCTATACGTTTTCAATTGAGAGTATTGAATTAATCGATCTTGCGGGGTTCGATTCTTTTATTTTCATTGGAAGAAGTTTTTGCATCCAATTAGATATTATATCAGAGATTGATATAAAAACTATCTTGAGTTAAAAGTTGTACGGCACAGCCAGGCAACGTTATTTCTAGCGGAAAACTAAAAAATGTATTTTTTAATAAATGTTTTTACTGCACTATCAGCGGTAATAATTAAATTTTTAATAGTAATAGTATATTTAATTTGTACAGCACANATTTTTGTTCAAACTTCTGAATAATCTAATTGACTCTCCTAACTTATTAAATCTTGTAAATATTTATGTACCACCCAGAAATTTTAGAGTTAATACATTATTTCAAGAGTCATTTTATCACACTAACTCTGGACAAAATTCGCCGTTGAACAGAATGTTCAGAACTTACAACAATTTATTTTCCAATGTAGATATATTTAGAGTATCACTATTTAGCTTTAAGAGAGCACTAAAACAAACAACATTCTGTTAGTACAGATAGTTACATTATTGTTATTTATTGTATTTTATTAGTGTATTTATACTGTATCTATACTGTAATATGTATGTGGGTATGTGTACATGTGTGTATATGCATATATGTGTGTATATGCAGCGCCGGACTGGGAGAAAAAAGCGGTCCGGGAATTTTTCAAACTAGCGGCCTTAAAAAATTCTAACCTGACTTGGCTCGCCATAGTAAAAAGTAAACGGGTTTTTCTAGTGTACAGTTTTGAAATAGTCGTTATTTATGTCGAGTTTTCCAAAGTTGAGAAGATTGAAAATTTTAAATGTAGGTATTATTTATTTTATCCATCAATTAGTTTATGATTTCTTTTATTTTTTTCAGTAGATAATTTTACCTTGCATTCGACTACTTTTAAGCGCTTTACTCGGTAACTTTTTACTAGAGACTTTTCTAAATCCATCAAGCTTGAAGAACTCAATTCAAGAATAAACCACAATAGGCCCATTCAGTGATATTTAATTTTAAACTTTTTCTTTCATTTTCTGATAGTATTTAACCACCTAATTATATCTTAAAAAAATTAGGTCAATAGGATTAATAAGTAGTGATATATTTAATTTTGAATTTGTAAGACCCTTAAAAAGGTCAACACTGCGAGAGAACAGGTAATGACGTCACGATACCGGCCACTCGCCAGCAGTCGGAGAGATAAATCTCATTTTATACGGCTTCTAAGAAAGAGACGACAGTCTGTTTTCGGCTGCCTCGTCTAAACTGATGTGTAGATATTTGCTATACTTTTACCTATATTATATATCTATATTTTTAAGTGTATAAATAGAAAGTGTATAAGAGATANAAAACCCTTACGATACCTTAAAATCTCCACCACTGGCACGTCCAATGAATTCGAGAAGGGTGCGAAGAAGTAGCTATTAATAGTGGTAATGTGTGTACAAAAGCTCAGTCCTGTAGTTCAAACGATTCCTAAGATATTGGCGAAAAACTAAAAAAAAATTAAAAGTTTTGACACCCTGTATCTCGAAAACGAAAGCCCGGAGAGAAAAATAGAAGAGGAAAACAATGTTTCATTTTTCAAGAGGAATTTACAGTTTTCCGTTGCGACACTTATTTAGGAACACCCTGTATATGTGTGTGTATACAGGATGTGGCGTCTTTAATGCAGAAAATTAAAAACCTAGACTCTTGACAATAAATGAAGTAAAATAATATATGCTACCATAAGGCGATTATGAGATTTGACTTGAAGAAGTGACAAAATGTTAATACCGGTCCTGTTTAACATAGCCCAAAAAACATTGACCTAGTCCGCACTCCGCACGGCACCTGTGGAGTGTCAGCTAGTGTCTTGCGGATTGCGGGCGAATTGCTGCTGTGTCAAAAAGATCGCGCTTCTGCTGTTTAGACGTTAAGTGTTTATTAAAGACGTTTCTTATTTTTTATTTCTTAAGTTATTGTTTTAACTAAATTGCCAATGGATAACGAGGACAACAATAATACGTTTACTACTATCGAATATCCTGACATGGTGATAGTTACAGTAGCGGTAAGTTTGCATCTTTTTTGTTTGTCGTGAGCCAACCAATCACTTGCTAAAATAATAGTAGTCTTTTCTGTAACACCATGTACTTTGTTTCTACAAACCTCTTGTCTGGGATTGCACATTATCATTTACAGTGAAATAAATTGAATTGAATTTTATGTTTATTTTTCCTTTTAATTAAAACGAGAGGATTGTATTAAACTGGCCAAAATTATTTATTATTGCATTAAAACATTTTATCTCTTTTGTGTGTAATTCATACATTTTATTTTGGTAACACTGATTTGCGCAAAGGCACGACTCTCTGTTAGGTTCAGTTCGGCAAGCGTGCGCTGACGACATTTTTTGACCAGGACCGCACTAAGATTTATTTCTTCTCTACAAAATTGAAGTTCAATTTTCTTGACAAAACGTGGATATATTAATTTCTTATGTAAGGCTTTTTTATTGCATATATTCCTAGGAATATACATTTTATTTTTTCTGCACTAAAGACGCCACACCCTGTATATGTTTGGTTTGGTTGTTAATCAATTATATTTAGTGAACATTGTTTTGTGCTCTTAGCCAGACTGTTTATGTTTCGTTTTCTAATTAAATAAATAAATAAATAAATAAATAAATAAATAAATAAATAAATAAATAAATAACGCTGTTTTACATGTCCTACTTTGTTAGTTGTAAAGAACTACTTAATTTAGACTTTGTGGAATTTTTCTTTTTCGATACGTTTCTTTGGATCAATTAGAACCTATAACTATGATATTAACTTCTAAAATTAACGTTTAGTAATTAAACAATTAGTTGCAAAAAAAACAAACGAAATTAATTAACAAATAGCTAGAGCAACAATTTCAAGGTCTATGGAATCGGCATTTGGCGCACATGTTGGTCATTGGATTGATTGTCTTTTCCATAAATTTCATCAACATCCATCGCTTTTTGCAATAATAATGCGCAATTTTCGAAAACTGATATTTCCGCGTTTGACCTTTATTTTACATGTCATAAATCAGTGAAATATGACTTACCTTAAATTGTAGGTAATTTAATTGCCTACAACATAAAATAACTAATATTCCGATAAGTCGTCTAGATTTTCGTGAGCATTAAAAAAAGTGAAAAAAAAAACATAAATTTGCCACTGATTTGCAATTTGCCAACTTAGTGTCACTTCCTTCGAGTTATTTTTTTTATATTCTACATACCTCATAAAGTGCAATAAAATGTCTACTAATAATTTTTTCACGTTCAGATTTTGGAGTATAAATTCATAAGGTTGTTTCTTGGATCAGTTTATCCTTAAAAGCCTCTTTAACCAGGAATCTAATACCACTTATGTTGAAGTTTTCGAAAAATATATTGTGCAATATCTCTGTATTGGTAATGAAAGACTCTTTTTTATTAGTGGAGTGTATTTTGTATTAAATCAGATATAAACAACTTGTGAAGTAATCTGACAGGCTTGCAGGAGCCGCAGTTCGTAGGTCCTTTTTTATTGTGATCGGACTCGAAAATATGTATTGCTGTCAATATGACAGTAAACAAACCTACTCTAACAAAAAAACACGAAAAACAAAGCTGCTATGTCTTGACCAATCTCTGAATTGATGTAGATTAAAAAGCTCAATCAATAAATAATTCAAAAATAATTTATAGAATTTCATTTCGCATTGCAAAAATAATATATTTCAACAATACCAAATTGGCTGCATTTTTTCGTAGCACCCGATCCTCCTTAAACATGTTTTTATATGCATTACTTTTTAATTGCACCAAAATTGTTAAGATTAAACAATTTTTTTCATTTTTATTTAAAATATTGTAGTCTATTGCAATCATATAGGTACTTATGTGAAAGTTACTGTTTTTCAATATTTATGAGTGATTTAATTTGTCAAACTCAACCACAATCACATCATTTTGCCGAATTTTGTCAGAACTGGAGATTAAAAATCCACTAATTTGTGATAAATCTGGCATCTTCGCATCAGACATGGAAATTGCTAGCAAACATAAATATCTAAATTGAAAAAAGAAAGAAAATACCGAGACCATTAATTCTTACACAAATAACATTTTAAAAATGTGCATTTTTAAGAAATATTTTATTTCTATTTTCTTTGCAGTTCAATGAATTCCAATTAATTTATAAATGTCTAATTGAAGGAAACGACCTCATTCATGAATAAAAAAAATAATGTAATTTATTTATAAATCTCTTACATACCTCAGCCATAACTTTATGATATGTATCGGCTTCTAAAGCTTCAACGATCAATTCGGGAACTTCATAGCATGGTACATTGCAGTAGTTAAGAATGGAATCCTTCTGATCAGCATATCTACAATGAGAGATATCACATTAATATTAACCATTTTTGAAATAATGCACAAACTCACTTATGACGCAAGCAAGCCCATTCTTCTTCCTGATAATATACCCAGTCTTTAAGGTGTGGGTCTTGAATATCGTATCTATTGAAGTCAATGCGCTCAATATCTTCAATGACAATTTCTACATCCCCTTCGTCAGACCAATCGTAAACCAATAACTCGGCATGTTTACTACAATATGTGTAAATTTCTTTATTATGCAATTTCCTTCAAATATTTCAATTTAAAAAAAATTTTGTTGCTAATAATGTAACCGATAATACAGCAAAACACTTCTTATATTCCCGCAGATTCCTGGGTACAAAATAATACATTTTACTTAAACTTATCTCTATTGTAAATTACTTTTTATTATACTTCTCTGAAGACACCTTATTTTCATCTGAATTAATAATAAAGTAAGATGAGCTTATTCGGGCTAGCGCATGCAGCAAAGTAAACTAAATTTAAGAAAGTTTATATGCATAGGCGGGATTGAGGGGGGGCAAAGGGGGCAACTGCCCCCCCCCAATATTACTGCAATTGAAAAATTAAACTCAGAGTTAAACTTCAAGGGAGTGCGATCTCTGTTTTTTTTTTTTTCATTTCCTCCAAGTGTGTCGTGTGTCATAAGGATTACGTCCTATTTTTTTTTAAGATATTGATTTCTTTGAGACTTTTTTTTAGGCATCAATTATATAAACGGGACATATCTCCAGACGATCTGTCATGAATAGATATAGATCTGGATATATGCTATCTGATATTTAACATGTACCTATTTTGTATTTTAATTCGTAAATGTTTGAATATTTAGATACATTTCTGTAATATTTTTTGATGTTTTGTCGACCTTATCTGTCATAGATTAATTTAAAACAAATCTCCTTTGAAATAATTTAAGAATAACCATAGAAACGCATCATACATACTAAACACTATTGTCAGTGTTGTTTATTTTCTGTCAATTCAATTTTTATGCCGATAAATGTACTCGGAAGAAAAATGTGAAGCTCCAGATGGACAATATCTACTACCAAAAGCAATTTTAGTGTTTGGGATCATTGGTGCATGTTGAAGAGATGATTTAATACGTTTAAATTTAGATGATGTGGTAGAAAATGACCTTGTTTTTATGACAAGAAATTTCACCATTACCAATAAAGGATGTACATTTGAGTCCTGCACAATTTGTCTTAAATATGCAGCTCTGAGACTTAAAAAAAATATAAACAGAAGATTATTTGTTGCATACCGAAACGGCAGGTGTTACGCTCAACATGTTGGATGGCATACCATCAATGGTGTTCCGAAAATTGTTGCAGAATACCTAAAACTAAAAGATCCCAGAAAATATACTGGCCATGGACTAAGGTGTTCTTCGGCAGCCATGTTAGTGGGAAGCGGCACTGATTTACTCACTCTGAAAAGACACAGAGAATGGCATTCTTCCAATGTAGCAGAAGGATATAGAAGAATCTGTACAAAGAAAAATTGAGGTATCACGATAACTGTTTAACCCTTCTCACTCGCAAAATACGAGAACTGTATCATTCGTTCGAGAAAATCAAAACATTTGCGAAGAGTCTGCTTCAATAACTGCAGTTTCACAAAGTGAAACTCTGAAAGGACTAGACCTGTGCAATAATATAAATTGCATAATAAAAATAACCATTAATAATAACAATTCAAACTAAAAACATTATTAATTGGAACTGTTATTATTAATAATTAGTTAATTTTCAATATTCTTACTCTACATGTTTAGTCCACGGGCCCAGGCCCTTTTTTTTCTTTGATTAATAACAAGCTGAATTTTGGGGAACAGCTTCGTTTTGACGAGACGCCCAACTACAAAAATTCTCGAAAACGGTAGCTAATAAAGCGCGGGAGTGTCAAACATGTCGATTTGGGGAATGATCAATATTTATTACTAACAAGTAGTTTTTTACTTAAATCGCATGATGTATGATGATGTATGAAAAACTCGAAAAAACTTTTGTCCTACACGTTCGATGTTTTTTCTGAAGCGTCTCCCACTCTTAACATGTCAAAATAATATGATCTTAGAAGTTATTAATAACCACCTAATTTTTTCACAGATGCTTGGTAATTATTATTATAATTCAGTGACATTTTTGTCAAACACATAAAATAGAAAGTTTTTCTAGTCCTACACTGGAAAAATGTCATTTTCACGGGTACAATTTTCTCATTAATAACTGTAGGACAAAGAAACCAAACGATATTTTAGGGAATTTTTAATAAAAAAAAACTATGTCCTAACAAAAAAATTAGTATGTATTTCTAGTCCTACAAAAGTTATATAAAATTATTTAAAATTGAGAATTTCGAAATCAGCATTATATCTTCTTGTGATTATAGTGATTATACATGTCCAAACTTTGCCAAAATAATGCAATTTTTGCATCCCAAAGTAGAAAAATAGTTTACTAATCCCCCAGGGAGTTTGAGGAGGGGGAGTGATAAACAAACTTTATCCTTATCAAGCGCGACCAAACTAAACCAAAGCGTTTTTTCTCTATGTCATCGAAAAATGTGTATATTTAACTTTCTATGTACATGTGATCAGTATATGATGCCATAAAGTAGAAAAATAGTTTAGTAACTCCCCAGGGAGTTTAGGGCAAACTACCCTTATCGAGCCAGGTCGAGCCAAACCGATGAATTTTTTTATTATATTTTAAAATGATATGTAAATGTTTTTATACGTTGTATTATTTTTAATTTTTATTCTAGAAATTATAGAAAAAAACTTTGAATAAAAGGTATTTTTGAGTATATTAAACACATGTATATTAAACAAAGAAATATACATTTTTTTATCAAGTTTAAAGGAGTTACTTACTGAACCCGTTTCAGTAACTGAATACCTTTTAATATATGTTAATTAACTTTAAATTAAGTAAATTAATTAAATTTATATACTTCAAAAAAAATTAATACACAAAAATAGTTAATATGTAGTTACTAATTTTCAAAATAATTAATTTTGCTATTCTACATTAACTTTTACTATTAAAATTATTCAATAACCACGCTCATGTGTGATTGTTCAGTAAACAGCTCCTTTATCTATTGATAAAATAATAAATTTTTGTATGAAAATAAAAAAATGTGAATTTATTACTATAAAATATTATATTATATTGTTTGCAAGCAATCAGAATTACTTTAGAGAATTTTTTTATTTCCTCTCTTTTTTCTCGGAAATTCGGATTATCACACAATAATTTGCATAAGAACTCCATAGTCACTAAAAAAAGCACAAAAACGTGGACGACTGAAACACACTTGATTCTCTCGGAAAAAAAAACGTGGGCAAACCGCCAAAATAATCCTGATTGGTGCGGGAATTTTGAAATTTTTTATTTTCACCAATGGTGAAACATTCGATAATTCATAAATTTAAAAAAAACTTATTATTATAAAGATTATTGAATAATTCATTATTATATAGATAAATAAGTTTAAAAAAAAAATTATAAACTTCAATAAATTTTTTTTTATCATTTTTATTGAAAATTAAATTGTATGATTTCGAGTATAATTTTATTTGTTTTCATCACTAGCTTCCAACTTTTTTTGTAGGACATTGGTAAAATCTTGATTTAAACATCGTTCTCAAAAGAAAAAATCGAAAATTAGGTTGTTATTAATGAGAAAATTGTACCCGTGAAAATGACACTTTCCCAGTGTAGGACTAGGAAAACCTTCCATTTTACGTGTAGGACAAAAATGTCAATGAATTGTAATAATAATTACCAAGCATCTGTGAAAAAATTAGGTGGTTATTAATAACTTCTAAGATCATATTATTTTGACATGTTAAGAGTGGGAGACGCTTCGGAAAAACCATCGAACGTGTAGGACAAAAGTTTATTCGAGTTTTTTATACAATTATCATGCGATTTAAGTAAAAAACTACTTACTTGTTAGTAATAAATATTGATCATTCACCAAATCGACATGTTTGACACCCCCCGCGCTTTATTAGCTGTTCCCCAAAAATTCAGCTTGTTATTAATCAAAGAAAAAAAAGGGCCTGGACCCGTGGACTAGTTTTTTTATTCCTGTAACTGTTATGAAAATAAAAATATTCTAAGTTTCTTTTGTATGTCTTTTTTTGTTATATGTTACATTTTGTTTCTGTTTTCGTTTTCAAAGAAGTATAATAAAAAAATATCGTTCATTACACGTCCATAATTAGATTTTTCCGGGCTTGCATGACTTCCTGTGTGAGGTGACCGTTTTTGAGATACAGGTTGTTAATAATTAAAAAGAAATCATTTACTGTAAATATCTTCTAAAATAATAAAGGTATTTTAACTAAATTTGTTGTACGTTATACTGGGTCAAGTTTGCATAAAATGCTGTAATATCAAGACTTTTGCGCAACCAGTGGCGGAGATATGGGAAACTTATTCATGACTATTTTATAAAAAAAAAAAATAATACGGTCCTGTGCAAAATAATAAATTATATTTTCTAAAAAAGCGTGACAATGGAACAAAAAAATGCCTCTTACATTTTATTGATATTTGTCTCTGTTTTATGGCAAATTGGATTTCTCTTTTTCCTTTCAAATTAGTCAAATACTGCGTGCTAATGGATTTTTTAAATGCTTGTTAGAAATATTTCAGCTAGTTTCAACTAAATTAAATAAAACATAAAGCAGCATGGTATGCTTTTTCAGAAAATATAATCAATTATTATTTTTTTTTTATATGAAATTGTGACATTATTTTCTCATTATCTATCCATATCCGAGAGATTGCCCACCATTTCCGGAACACCCTGTATATATATAAAATAGTCAAATGAGTTTCCCATATTTCCACCACTGGTTGCGCAAAAGGCTTGATATTACAGCATTTCATGGAAACTTGACCCAGTATAACATACAACAAATTTAGTTCAAATAACTATCATTTCCGAAGATATTAACAGTACATTATTTTTTGTTTTAATTATTAACACTCTGCATCTCGAAAACGGTTGAGATTTCGAAATAAGCTTCCTCCAGTCGTTAAACATTCTGCCAAATATAATAAAGACACATTAAACAACATAATGAGCAAACAAAATTGAAACAAACTTAGGAAAGATGCACGTTTTCTCCACATGTTTTAGGTTAAATCTTCATATTTTAAGCTATGTTCTCCCTGTTAATTTATGCTACCTACCTGCAGGGGCGGCTTAAGGCCCGAGCGGTTGGCCGGGGCGCCGCATCGAGATAGGTGCCAAATCGGCAGTGAAAATTGAAAATTCAAACAAGAAAAATAATTGTCTTATCACAACATAAGTAACATCCTTACAGTAAAAGGATTATTTTTTTCTAATTATTCTCCACCGTTTTGACTTTCAGTTTTAAGGGAGAGGGGTGCCCGGGTGAAAATTTTACCTCAAGCCACTCCTGCCTGCACGTCATATGCCATTAGGGTTGCCAGATGTGCTCGAAAAAAAACCGGATAGCATTCCAAAAAAAAACAAATTAAATAAATGGATTTTGAGATAAGCTATGAGTCAAATGAACGCAGTACACAAGTTTACGGAACTATCAAGCGTGGCGGACTTTTTCAGTTTTCACTCTACGAATCCAGTTCATTGTTACCTATTAGATTTGCGCAACAAGTTCAGCGGCGAAATAAATTCGTTTTCTGCGCGCTGTTGACGCTGTTACCGTTTTTAGGCAAACATTTTTTCCCAAATTGCAGGATATTTTATGAATTCAACAAAAAACTGGACATTTTTGCTTGTCCGGTTTACCAAACATTTTTCAACCGGACAGGCATCAAAAAAACCGAACTGTCCGGACGAAAACCGGACATCTGGCAACCCTATATGCCATTTAAATATATAAGAAAAAATCACCTTATTTCTTTTAAGTAATTTTGTTTATATTGTTTTTCCATTACCCCTAGGTACTGGGAATTTAAAACTGGGGAATCTTTTTCATAACTGATTGACCTTTTTTTTATGTTTTCCAATATTTTAGGTACAGGTACATCCAAATAAATGACCAAATGGGGCCTCAAGAGTTCACCTATTGTACAGTCACGAAATTCATAGTACTTTTTGTGAGCTGGAAAAAATTAAAATAATAAAATATACAAATGATTTTTTTTTTGTTTAGGTACCTAATTTAGAAAGATATCCTTGAGCAAACATAGCTTCAGTAAACACAAAATCAGAATAGACACTACGATCAAGAATGACTCCTTGACCGGTACTGAACAGGTGAGCCAAAGCATCTACGTATTGCGATAATCTGAAACAAGGAAACATTTCAGTTACTGTTAATATACAAAGTATCATATTTTCTGATTTCCATAGCTAACCTAGTTATATTAAAACATAAAAAAATGCTTAAGAACGGAAATTGAAGTCCCGTTTCATCTAACAAAGTACTACAATATTCATATAGATGTCGCTACAGGAAATACGTTTATAGTAAAAATAGTACGATTATTTCATTCATTCAAATTCCGGCAAAACACACCTAAAAAAAACGAGAAAATGCCAGGTGCACGCACACGTGCACGATAATGAGTTGTCCGGCCTATACGTCCATCCCACTCTCTTGCTATCTCATAATTGCATATGAAAAGAGAAGGGTAATAAAATAATAAAAACTCCAATTTGCGGCCGCCGGTTTTTTGTTCTGAAAATATTTCTATTTTCTATCTTCTACATATTATTATGTACATATTTACAAAAAAGGAGGATGGCAAGTGGTTATACAAATTTATAATATTTGCAGCCAACTAAAAGTTTTATTTCATATTATTTTCTACATTTTAGTACTTATATGGATTCGGACCAGAGTAGGTGCGAATGTAATTATTTCTTGTATGGATCTTTGAGCTGTTATCTTTTATTGTTGCGTTGTGGCTGCGAAATATTTTATTTGTGGAGTTTACTATTTTTTATATGAAGGAAAAAACATTAACAGAGTAAGTATTACAATTTGCTAGGCATAGTTGTACTTAGTACTAAATTCAAGTAAATAATAGATATTAAAAATAAATATGTAGGTATATTGTATTTGATTATTTGAAAATAAAAATTACATATGCGACAATGGACTTTCCGCTTACTTAGCCGTAATATAAATATGACATATTGTCGTTGCAATGCACATACAGGCTGTTCCAATAGTGTGACAAAGTTTATAATTATTTTCAGTTATAGTTGTATAGGGCAAAATCTTCAGGCCAAAAACAAGATTTTCTGAACGTTTAATTCGGTCTGAAAATAATGAATAATGGAAATAATAATAAAATGTGAATCCGAGCAAGTAACTTTTTTCGTATCACTACTACAGGCAGTTATACTAAACTTTATCGCACTATTGTGGCACCCTATATATGACTAGATATATCATTATGGTAAATCAAAAGCATAATAGGTAAAAATGTATAATTATCTATGTTTATAACAAATATTATCTGGTAAAATTCTTTTCTTACTTTCAGATACAGAGACAGTTAAATATAACCGGAAGAAGTCTATATGTTATTTCGTAATATACCTATAGTGGTGAAAACAACCCGCTCTATGTAGAACAAATTAAGAAAGATGAAGAATTATGGAAAAAATCAATGGCAACAAATTTGGAACAATTTTATAAAAATTGTATACTACCAGAAATAATATACAAAAATATTCCACAGGGAAAAAGATGTATGGATCCAGAATATATTATAGAAGCTCAAATTAATAAAAAGAAATAATTTTATTTTATGATTTTTTAAATTTTTTCCTGTTCTACTGTACCTATTCTATTTATTTCTTTATTACTTTCATTTATTTACATATTTATTAAACTACACTGTTCCACAGAATTTCTGTTTATATTGGAGGTATTAAAGTACCTACAACTATTTTTTCAAGTGAAGTGAACTGAATACCTATTTCTCATAAAAAAAATTTAGTCTCAAATCGTCCTTTTGTACATAATTCTTTACACATTTTTTGGACAAAATAAGTATATCGTACATATTTTTTATATTTTCTCATTATTATGTATATTCACAATTAAAATTCTATTTATATTAATATGCGAATTTTTTTTATCAAGAATTACTTAATATTAATTATTAAAAATATAATATTTTCCATTTCTGTTTATACCAAAGTAAGCCGCTTTATTCACAAATCGTAATTATAACATAACTTTCCGTTATGAACAACTTTTCTTATTAACATTTTTTTATATTATCAAAAACAAAAGCAGTTTATTCTTCAACGTTATTAATTTTGTTAAATTTCTGATCACCCTGTATATATATAAATTACAGTTTTTCATGACAAACATATTCAATTAAAAAGCAAAATATTTTTTGTCACGAATTACTTTTTCTAGTAGAATAGAAAATAAAAATGTTTTCCCTCTTATCCACTAACCGTAGATACTAATATAGGTATATTAATTATAAATTATGGTTTTAAATAAACTAAAAATTGTTTATATTTCATATTTTCTAAAATTATATAATAGTATGGACTTGCACTGTTACTTATATACTTTTATACAAAAATATATCTAAAATGATCATGACATTCTTTAAATATTTACGTATCAATTAACAGAAACCATGACTACCAATTCAGAATCAGGTTATACCAAATTAACCACATACAACAGCTGTTCGTTAAAAATAACCCGAGTCCATTCATAAATAAATTTTTACTAGTGCGACATCTATTACAAATCAAGCGAATTAAAAGTCGGAGATAATGCTATTCATGAATGAATATTTTTTAATAATTTTATTCCAATATAACTTTTTAAATAATAAAGTGATGAACAAACTATGAAATAAAGTCTAATCAGTTTATTTATTTAAAGACAACTATATAAAAAATTGCATAATTCTATAATACTATGAAGAAATAATCGTTTCTTTGTAAAAGTCCAAAAAACCTTCATATTTAGAAATTAATTTCTCACGAATTATTTACCTATCCCAATTAATTTTTGCTTTACTGTCTTCATTTATACTTTGCCAAATGTGATATGAAATTTTACTACTTTCTTCCATTGCTTTAAAAAGATATATTGGAATAAAAAAAGGGCTGTTTTCTACCATTTTTCGGTATAATTTAGGCAACCAGAAATGCATCAGTTTCCATCCTTAAACAGGCAAATAGTGCAACAGCACACAGCTTATGGAAATTGGCCTTTCGGTGAAATTTCCTGAAAAATTGATATGTTGTCACTTTTTTATTGCTGATCAAAAGTTGTCATGGCCACGAAGCTCCAAATGCCCATCTGGAGGTGGTAGGGCTAATAAAAGGATAAAAAACATTGAAAAATTGATTCATTCTCAAATATAATTTTTTTGACATATAATGTAGCAAATATAACATTTTTGATATTTAATGTAGCTTGTTTAACAATGATTAGCATATATTTGTTAGAAATCTGTGAAATGTTCTCACAAATAAAGAATAACGACAATCACAACTGACATTAGAGTAACCCGATGTACATACGAGGAGGTTGTCAAGTTGGATTTTGCACATCATTTTGCCCTGAAAAAGACAGTTTGTTTGTGTGTACATGTGCACGCGAGCATGTGCGTGTGTATTTTGAATACACAAAATTCCATACAATTTTTTTTAATACATACATGAATTTTTCCAAAAATATTTTTTAATTTTAATATTAACGATTTTTATTTATATATTTTCTATTCATATTTTATTTTATTTATGAAAATCAGCCTCCTAATGTGGTTTTTCCCTCTTAAGGTCATACAAGTTTAATTTATTTTAAAATAATAATTCCTTATTCCAAAAATTATTCTCCAAATTATGCCATGTCTATCTATAACGATTTCCAGGACAGCAAAAATATCACCATCCTTTATATTATTAATTTGAAAACACAATTGGATTTAGACAATAGCAAAACTGCAAATATTACTAGGTAAAGCCAAAAATTCAATGTTCTGGCTTGAGTAATATTTGAATATTTCAACAATATTTGTGTATTAAAATAATTATTTATATTACAAATGGTGTATGCATTCCCCATCTTTCTATTACTTGCTCAATTTAAGAAACAGACCTTTCGTGCTTCTTGTAACCACAGAGATTGAAAATTTTACAACACTATTGCTACTTTAAATTGTTCTATATATTTGTAAAAAGACATCCCCTTTCTAGTTACGCGTTTTTTTTTTTTTTTTTGAAAAACCCGTAGGACCCTAGAAAAAAACTGTTGAAGTTAGAAGTGAAATTTTGGCAGCCAAAATATTCAGCAACCACTTTATTCAGAACGCATGTTTCTTGGATTAAAAATTTAAAAAAAAAATGTATTATTTTTATATTTTTTTTATAAACATCTCGAAACGGACAAAATAAAACAAAAATTAGTTTATGATATCTTTAGTATTCACCAAATCACAGGTATTTGAAATTTTTTTTAAAATATTCAAATGCTCATGACTTCAGGGGTTGAAATAAAAATTTGAAAAAATTCATGAAAGCTACTCTAGAGTACAGAGTACTAAATAATACCAAAAAATCAAGAAAATTAAAAATGGTCGGGTCACGACCTCAGTGATTTGGCATGGAACGCCCCATATGTAAGTATTAACTTTTTTTGTCAGTCCTCGTATACACCTTTTAGTAACAAAATATGAAATATTGGACTTTTTTGAACAAGAAAGATATGTTATATACTTATTGAAAATGGTTGATGTCAACCGTTGAAGAGATATTTTTGATTTCATAAATTAGTATTTCGGATTTAATACGTCCAGGAATATTAACGTTGAAAACGGACATTTTTGTTAATAAATTCAGAACTCATTGCCTCATAGCCTTTATAGTTGCATTATGTCTAAATGTGACCAAGGAATCAACAGGGACAACATTTATTTTTCCTGTATTCAATTTACTATTAAACAAAAGCATGTGTTTGAATTACATTTATTTTCATTGCCTTTAATTTCCAGAAAAAAACATTCTAGTGTATTTTTGAGTTTATTTAAGGAGGTTTATCTGATTTGGAATTGACGAACAAATATTCATAAAAAAATTACCTCCTAATTAATTAAATTAATTAATTAAACTAATTAATTAAATTAACCTCCTTAAGGAGGTTTCTCGGGTACGGAGGTACGTCTAAAGTCTAACGACAGTTTCTGCAGATTCGCTAGTGACTAAAGTTGTAAGACTTTAGATTTGGCAACGTTGCACTTGGCTGGCTTTGTTTGGATGCCTAAGCTTGAAATATACATCATATGTCACACCTGCGAATTTCAAATAATATGCTGTTAAGTTAGTCAACGACAGCAGTTTGAAAGAGAATTATTATAAATTATGTATCATACAAGTACCTAATCAATTTCTACGAGCTGTCATACGATTCCTTAGGTATCGGTTTCCTATTTATACAAGTTGCTGTGGAAACTGTTCGTTAATAGTTGCACATTCTAAGTGGAAAGACCAAAAAATCTGCATTCTCATAAGACTGTACTAAATCGTGAAAAAATATTTTAATAATATCTCGTCTCCTAGGTACCCAAACTAGACATAATTTTTTTGAGGATTTTCTTCATATTAATAAGCTTATATTAATTTTTGTATGAATATTTATTCGTCAATTCCAAATCAGATAAACCTCCTTAAATACATACTGTGTATAGGCGCCGACATCTCAGGTGCTCCGGGGCTCAAGTACCTGACAAAAGTATTTGACGGGTGCGGAGCACCCGCAAGAATTATTATCAGTTTTGTTAGAATAGTATATTTCTGTGCTACCTACTTTTACGTCTACATAGTACATATATTTATATTTTCACTTGTTATTACATAGAAGTTTATTTTTTGTTAAAATTATTAAGATTGTTAAATTTTTTAAATTTGTATCGAAACAGTAATAAAGTTTATTTATTTTGACAAGTTTAATTAATTTCGATATATTTTTTAAAAAGTTTTTCATAAAATCTAATTCGGAGAAATACGTATTTTAAATCTTTTACCTGATGCTATTTCAAATGATTCCTCATTTCTCTTGCTTTTTAATGTTATCTGGCAAAAAAATGCCTATAAGGCAACCGAGCACCCGACAAAAGTTTTAAAAGACAGCGCTTAAGATATTGTGCACTAGAAAAAACCTAAAATCTTGCTACTTTGGTGACTTAATAGCAAAGTGATCTAGTAGGTAAATATCATTTGATAAATAGTAATTATTAAAAGTCAGTTTAAGAATTTATCAAATGTTAATTGATTAATGCACCATCAAATGGCCTGCACGATCACCGGACCTCACACCCATGGACTATTTTTTATGGGGTCACCTAAAAAATATTGTTTATTCCAACCCTACTAATTAATAGTGTGGAAATGCTCCGTCAAAGAATTTTTGTAGTAGCTGAGGAAGCAACGAATGACAGAGTACATCGTAATTTTAATCGTACATTTATTTTTTAATTTTTAGTTAATTCTTTTTAGATTATGTATATTTTGTTTTATGCGACTCTTGGTTTTTCTAGTTTTGCTCCTCTCTTCAAAAGGTTGCTATTAAACTGACAATAAATATGTATATGGCAAAAATGACTTTTTTTCCTGTTAATTTGGGAAAACACATTTCTTTAGTGGAGGGTTCATATATCTTCATACACAAGAAAATGCATTTTTTGGAGATATTAAATATGAAATACTAATTTATAAAACCAAAAATATATCCCCAAAGGTTGACATTTTCAATTTACCTTTTTTTGTTAAAAAAAAAATCCAATATTTTATATTTTGTTACTAATAGCTATACGAGGGCTGACAACAAAGTTAATACATATTTAATGCATAACATTGCTTGCAGAGGGTGCCCCACATGTGACAGCCAAAAATGATTATTATATTTTTCCCACCCTGGAAAAATCTCGCTACAAAATTTGAAAGATGTCTGATTAAACCTTTACAAATAATTATTAAAAAACCATTATTTATTTTTCATTTTGACAAAAAAAGGATTGGTACAAAAATACGTATCTGAAAATACACCTTCATTCTAGGAGTTCTACCAGCTTTATATTGAAAAGTAGCACACTATAGGTTTTGAGAAATAAATTATTAAGAGGGTGTGAAAAATCATTTCTAAAATTACGCTTTCATGCCAGGGCACCTAGTTTTGGAAAAAAAAAGAACTGTTAAAACTGGGAAGAGAATATTGCTTTACAAATATTGAAAAGTTCGAGGTAGCAATAGTGTCCTAGTATTTTAAATCCTTATATTCCCTACTTAGTTACCACTGTTACCAAAGGCACAAAAGGTCTATTTCTCAAGTTGAATATTTACTGATTCACCAAAATGTAATCTGGTAACCATTACCAGATAATTATGGTAATTATTTACTTTAGTGGCACCACCTCCAATTTTCACGAAATTTTGTCTATCCCCCTATTTTCGATGGTGCTGAACACGAATCTGCAGTTTTTTTTTGTGCGGTCGAATCTAGTTTTCGAGAAAAAAAATTTTCAATATTCTAACCTGGGTATTTCATATAACAAACACTACGTAGAACTCTGTATATTTTATGTAGCTTTCCAGAACATCTGTTATGAACAATTAACACTGTTTACGAAATATATTTTCGTAAATTTCAAGTAAAAAGATATGTATTTAATAAATAAAAATTTTGTAGTTTGAATCCGCCATTTGTAATTCGTGTTGACAACATTGAGTTCCCCCACTCTCATTCAACTCTGTTCATCCCACATAAAGTTACTATTATTTTATTTATTAAATACATATTTTTTTTTAGTTCAAATTTGGGAAAATGTGTTTCTTAAACAATGTTCATTGTTTATTACAGATGTTCTGAAAGCTACATAAAATATACAGAGTTCTACGTAGTGTTATCTGAAATANCCACAAAATGCATATTTTAATTTTATTTATTAAATAATTGATTCGGTTTCTGAATTTTACTCTTAAACCGCGCATTCGACGAAATGTTTTATGGAAATAAAAGCTTTGATTGAAATTGGTATATCCACATATGTAAAAGAAAAGATTCTCTTTGACGTCAAATAACATTTTTGGTTAATCAAAATTTAAATTTTAACAAGGTTCTGCAATAATTGATAAAACATTATTAGGAAAAAATTTTGCTCTGCTTTTTGTCGTGAAAGTATATCGCAACGTCGCTATCGCTATGACACTCTGTAGAATGCAATCATCCTAAATTTTATTTAAATATAAGGGCATCATTTAAACTCCACATTGCGGTAATTATTTACTTTAGTGGTACCACCTCCAATCATCACAAAATTTTGTCTACCCCCCTATTTTCGATGGTGCTGAACACGAATCTGCAGTTTTTTTTGTGTGGTCGAACCTAGTTTTCGAGAAAAAAATTTTTCAAAATTCTAACCTGGATATTTCAGATAACACTACGTAGAACCATTGTATAAGTATTTACTTATACAATGGTAGAACTCTGCATATTTTATGTAGCTTTCCAGAACATCTGTTATGAACAATTAACACTATTCACGAAACACATTTTCGTAAATTTCAAGTAAAAAGATATGTATTTAATAAATAAAAATTTTGTAGTTTGAATCCGCCATATGTAATTCGTTATGACAACATTGAGTTCCCTCAGTCTCATTCAACTCTTTTCATCCCACATAAAGTTACTATAATTTTATTTATTAAATACATATTTTTTTTAGTTCAAATTTGGGAAAATGTGTTTCTTAAACAATGTTCATTGTTTATTACAGATGTTCTGAAAGCTATACATAAAATATACAGAGTTCTACGTAGTGTTATCTGAAATATTCAGGTTAGAATTTTGAAAATTTTTTTCTCAAAAGCTGGGTTCGACCGCACAAAAAAACTTCAGATTCGTGTTCAGCACCATCGAAAATAGGGGGGTAGACAAAATTTTGTGAAAATTGGAGGTGGTGCCACTAAAGTAAATAATTACCCCAGATATTTCTGAATAGCAACATTTCTAACTTTATACACACATTATGAAAGTATTTTAATGTACATATGTTGATCAACCTTCTCCCCCTCAGATTTAGATATTTAAATGCATTAAAATTTCTATTAATGGATAACTTATAAACATTTACCTTACGATATACTGCTGTATTTGAAATCTTGCTGTATGTCTGTGTTTAGGATTTCGTAGAAAATCCATCACATCGAAACTTCTACAACTTTCTGGTAATAGTGCATCTAATTTTCTTAAATCATAGCCATAACTATTAATGTATACCATATCTAAATTAGCTTCTGGTAGGTACAACATTTCTAACTCACTAGCAAGTTGTTTAGCAAATTTTGTTTTACCTGACGCAACAGGACCATCAACAACAATAATCTAAAATATAATAACATTTTATTTGTACTTATTTGTACTACAAATTACCTTAGAATTTTCATCGAGCCTTGCTGTTGTTTTATCAAAGAAATAATTTAAAAGTGTATAACTTTTGTTTTGGTATGGCCATGGTTTTGGTTTATGAGGCGAATCTGTTACGGACCTTGTTGAACGACTAGTAATACTTCTCGATAATTTTATATTTCTAGTTGCATCTAATAAGTTATCATTATTGAAAAGTATCCTCCTCAAATTCACTCTTATCAGACTAGACATTTTCTGTTAGCTTTCTAAATTTTTTGTTTTACATAATAGCATAACACACAGTCACACAGACAACAGACAAAAAATCTAACTTTTTAATATTTTTAATGTTGCCAACATAACGTAGACAATGTTGCCAGGTCTTAAAATAGCAAAGCATGAGAAAATCCTACAAAAAACATGAGATTTATAAAAAAAGCATGAGATGGCGCAAATGCCTCGCAAGTTGTATATTTGGTTGCATAATACAACATAAAAAATCTAAATATGTAATATATTTTTTTCAAAATATGTTAAGTTTTCTTAAATTCAATATAGAGGGGCTGCATTACATTTTATAATATGAGTTGTACGAAAATAACAATACAATAGT